GCAGGGGTTCTCTGTGTGCCCCCTCACTGGGACATACTGTTCCCACCTCCCGATACATGGGGTGGGCACGGCTGCTGCTGTGGCAGGGGCACAACAACCTTTCATGAGTCACCTTCCCTGGCTTTGCAGCCAGCTGTTGGGATGTGGGTAGAGGAGCAGCCTCCCCCCAGCATCTCTGTGTACCCACGGAGGAGAGCACTGATTCACAGAGGAGAACACTGATTCACAGAAAGCTCCCCTGCTCTGTTTGGGAAAGACTTGTTCTGGTTGTGTCCAGCCCTCCTAACACTGATCACATCTCCTACCCAGACGTGGGAGCTCTCAGGAATTGCTTTCCCAGTTGCTTTCTTGCTTTCGTGAGCTTTGCTGGTGTTAATGGCTGATCTGAAGGCAGATGCCGTGTTGGCTGAGTCACGTCTTTCTATTTTGAGGTGTGACATGCCTTGAAGACAGCACCGTCCATCAAACATGGTTTGGGCAGGAGCTTTCCAAGGGAGCTGCTGTTGTGATCTGTGCTGGGATGGCTTTTGCTTGTGAGCCTCTAGTGGGATTCTTCAGTCCAGACTGGTGTTACTGGGAGGTGTAATGGTCCTATAGAGAGCAGTGGTTTCTGTTGTTGCCGGTACCATGTAACTAAATCTTATTGACCTTCTCCTCCTGATCAAGCATTGTATACTCACCCCTTCCTTGCTAATCTGCTTTGTGCTCCGTGTTAACCCTGTCAGCACTTTTCACCTCGCTCATTCCTCACTGCCAGAGCAGTTCCGGCAGGCACCACTACCCTGCTCAGCGCTGACAGAGGGGAAGGTGCAGCCGGCTTCCTGCCTGGCCGCTCCCAGGCTGCCCACATTTGGGATCCTGAGCCCTTCCCGCTTTTCTTCCCCCTCAGGTGGGCAGCTCTTGCCTGGGCTGTTTGTGCGAGCAAACCTGGCACCGGCTTTCAAAACACTTTTTTCCTCTGGGTGTTTTTTCCAGTCAGCTCTGGGAAGAAGGAGATGCTTAAATCTGAACCGCTGCTTCCGGAAAGCCCGTGTCTTTCCTTAGAGAGAATGCAGTGACGCTGGTGGGGAAGTCTCCAAAGAGTCATTATTGTCCAGGAAGCCACTCAACTTCCACTCCAGCTATAGCAAAGGTCTCTGGGGCTCATTCAGTCCTGATGGGCAGATGAACGTCCACTGCAGTGCAAGCTTCGAAGGTGTTTCATTAGTGAAGTGGCTGTAAGAGGCATCCTCGCCTTCTCCCTCCGTAGGCATCAGGCTGAAGGCAGGGACGTGCCTTGCCAGAGCAGCTGCCAGGCAAGCGTTGAGCAAAGTGCTGCTGAAAAGCAGGATCTGAGCTTGAGATGTGTTTCCTTGGCAGGGAGAGCCTACGGGGGAGCATCTGGTTTCGTATCAGAGCTGTCTGAAACCACAGGCACTGCCAGGTTTTGAGCTGAAACTGAGTCCAGAAAGGGGGCTCCAGGCTGGTCTGCAGCACGTGTGGTACCCCCTTCTCTGCAAGCCTCCTCTGCCCCAGCAGCCTGTCTGAATGGGGCCAGAAATGAGGCAGATGATGTGCAGGTAGGTGTGGAGCTCCATAATGAAGGTTTTGCTTAGTGTTCATTTACACTGAGGCACCTTGCGCTGGGGTGGACCACGTAAGGTGAGATGGACTCAAACCCTGTCCCCGGTGTTTCAACCTGGACATGGTTTGGTCTTCAGGGGAGCCTGGAGCTGCTCTTGCTGGACAATGAGGCTGGAAGCTGGAAAGCTGCTTTTGTCCTGGTGTCCCACCTGTGCTGCTGGGCTGGAGGTCAGGATCAGGGCCAAAACCAGTGGTTGCTCCATGGACAGACCGACCTGGTTTAAGAGGAGAGTGCAAACAGGATCATAGAGCCACAGAATGGTTTGTGTTGGGACCTTAAAGCTCATCCAGTTCTGCCCCCTGCCACGGGCAGGGACACCTTCCACTAGAGCAGCTTGCTCCAAGCCCTGTGTCCAACCTGGCCTTGAGCACTGCCAGGGATGGGGCAGCCACAGCTTCTCTGGGCACCCTGTGCCAGCGCCTCAGCACCCTCACAGGGAAGAGCTTCTGCCTAAGAGCTCAGCTCAGTCTCCCCTCTGGCAGGTTAAAGCCATTCCCCTTGGCCTGTCCCTACATCCCTTGTCCCAAGCCCCTCTCCAGGTTTCCTGCAGCCCCTTCAGGCACTGGAGCTGCTCTCAGGTCTCCCCTTCAGGAGCCTTCTCTTCTCCAGGCTGCCCCAGCCCAGCTCTCTCAGCCTGGCTCCAGAGCAGAGCTGCTCCAGCCCTCGCAGCATCTCCATGGCCTCCTCTGGCCTCGCTCCAACAGCTCCACATCCCTCTTGTGCTGCTGCCCCAGAGCTGGATCAGGACTGCAGGGGGGTCTCCCCAGAGAGCAGCAGAGGGGCAGGATCCCCTCCCTGAGCAGCTCCTCACGCTCTGGGGGTGCAGCCCAGCACACGGAGGGTCTGATGTAAAACCTGCCTCTGATGGGCTCCCGTGGGTGATTCTGCACCAGTGTCTCCTGGTGTCAGTGACGATGCTGGGTCCAAAGGAACAGTTGCAAAGCACTTTGGGAGCTGCCAGCCCTGGGTATGCAGTGTCAGAGCCTCAGGTTGGCTGGGGGGAAGTGGCTCCTCAAGTCCTGCAGTCAGGAACCCCCTTGTTCATCCTGAACCCTGTGCTCTGGCCGCTGTCCCTGGAGCCCAGGAGCCGCGGGCTGGGCTGTAACGTTAGACGAAGCCTCAGATGTGCCACGGTCAGAACTGATCTCGCTCGAAGGCAACTGCAGGCAGCAGGGGAGGGCAGTGCGAGGGGTGGTGAGTCCTGGTCTGCTGCATGGGACCTCTGTCATGTCCTGACGGAACGCTGTGGGTACACGTGCTCCTGTGTCCGCCCCGCAGCCGAGCACTCGCCCCTCTCCCTTCAGGACCCTTCAGTTCGGAACAGCTCGCTCACGGCTCCAGCGGTACCGGTAAATCCTTCCTTATGCTGGGAGCAAGCGGGGTGTCCGCTGCGGGGAGGCAAGCGTTGGGATCAGGGCAGTAACTGGTGGTGGGATGGGGAGGGGGCAGAGGAGGAGCGTGGCCAGGGACGGCTCTCCATGCTTGGTGCCCGTGCAATGTACTAGCTTTAGTTTGTGAGCGCCTGTACTTGCTGATAAACAAGCACAGGAAACCTCAGACGTACCCGAGGAGTGAATTTGTAACTGAATACAGAGCTGCACAAGGCACGGGGAGACTGGCTTTGGAGTGGGACTAAATATAACTTGGAGAAAGCACACATATGCCCTGCTGTGTCAGTGCTGTCCTTGGGCACAGGGGAGGTGGGAGAGGGGACATCCCCCAGGGCTGGCAGTGGTCAGAGAGAGCCCATTTGCTGCTAGCTCAGCTCCCACCACCAAAGGTCTGGGTTTAGGTTTTCCTTCACAGCCTCTTTCTGCGTCCCCTGGTCTGTGTCAAACGTGTCCCCTGCTCCAGGGGTGTTGGGTTTTAGTGGTTTCCACTGGCTTTTGATAATCTGCGAGACAGCGGCTGGTGGGGAGCTGTGCATCCCCATGGTGTCTCCAGCGGACAGCTTGAGTCACTTCTCTCCACTGTGATGGAGTTGCCATGACTCATGTGGATGGACACATCTCTACTAGATTTTCATCTTACCACAGTGTCCTCACATCCTGAGACTTAACAAAGGGTTTAGGTGTTTGCTGGCAGTGTGTTGGTGGCACTTCTGAGAATGCCCCAGCTCTTTTGGTGGTGAGGCTGTGGCTGTGTGGTGCCTTGCTCTGTCTCTGCTTGGGTGTGCTGGAAGGCTGGTGGCCCTCCACGTGTGGGACCGTAGTGCTGAGCCTGACCTGTTGTCCTTCGGGACTGCAGGTAATTGTAGCCTAACCCCTATAAGGGTGCTAGCCCATGGTATAACTAAAACAACCTAACATCTGAGTGAGCATGGATCCTCCATGGAGGACAAGAGCGGCTGATGCAGCCCAGCCTGGTCTCTGCGTACAGTAGGGATCAACGACCTGTACAGCCTGGTGGTGCACACCCAGCTGTAGCTAGAACCCTCCAGACACACTTAAAATGCAAACAGGGTGATGTGTGATCTGCTGAAGCCTGCCTTGTCGCGGTGTCTTTGGTGCCTGTCCTGCTAATGGCCAGCCCTCAGCAGAAGGTGACGGCATCGGTGTGGTCCCCACCATGCTTCCCTGGATGTACGCACGGGGGAGGGAACAACCCTGGAGGAAGGTGGTTATTTCTTGTGCAGGCCTGCGACAGAGCATGATGGAAATGGGGAATCCCTACTTAGGAGGAAGGTGATTCAATGGGAGGCGGATGGAGAGGTGAGGAGGGAGGCAGGTGGCTGAGGGATCCCAGCCCCGGTGGCCTCGTCTTTATATGGGACTATGCTTCATCTTAAGCAGCCATCACAACCTGTTCCCAAGCTCTGGGTCCTCATTACCACTGCCTGCAGAGGAGGGATGCTGAGGGTGGCTTTATGGGATTTATGGAATGATCATCCAGATCCTGCTCACGCAGTCTCCAGCACCCTGGTAGTTTGGGATAGGAGGATGAGGCTGCAAAGCCCTTTGACCCTGCTCTTTTTCTGTCAGTTTCCAGGGTGAACTGTACTTCCAATGCGAAGTTCTTCATTTTCAAGAATATAGCCAGCTGGTTCCCATAATACCCCAAACTCCCAGGAAAGGAGGCTTTGGGGTCACTCAGGGTTTGTCACTGATGCCTCACAGCTATTGCAAACCGAAGGGAGGAATGTGCTTCCCTCCTTGCCTTTGCCTCTTCATTTTTTCTTGCAAATGAAATAAAATACAGCTGATGCCATGGGTATTTTAAGACTTGCAGAGAGGAAGCGGGGATTTGCAGCTCTGCAAAGCAATGGGATGAATGCAGAGAAGACTTTGGTCTTGCTGAGCTGGCAGACAGCAAAATAACCAGTTACAGGATGAAATGTGTCTCGTGTCTGCTGCAGGGAAGGGAAGAGATCCAAGGGGGAGGAGGGGGACAGAAAGCAGAAATCACTGGTGTGGATCAGGGAACTGAGCAGCTTCTACCTTTTGCCGTCACTTTTGCAGGGCTTGCACTGTCATATTTCCCCTCGATTCATCTCTCGTCTCCCCATGGTCGTGTGCGTTGGCCGGGGCCCATGAGCCCTTCCTGTCTGGGTAGGAAGCCTGTGGTCACCGGTGAGCTCAGGCACATGCACATGGAGCAGAAGCAAGCCCTGTCTGTGCTCGGCAGCGCTGTGCAGGCTCCAGTGCTGATGCCGTAGGGATCACTGCTTTGCCACCTGCCTCCCACCTCGGCCGAGGAGCTGGTGCCCTTCTGCTGCACCTGATTCACTGCTGCTGCCTCTGTCCTCCTCCTCACGATGAGCCTGCTGGGATGGTCCTGTGCCCCGAAGGGAGCTGTGATCCTGGGAGCTGGAAGGATGCAAAGGAAGGTGAGTGCAGCCCGGAACAGAGCCGGTTTGGGACAGGGTCCTTCCTTGCATGGTCTCTCTGCTCCCACTCTCAGTGGGGATGGTGCAAGTCAGGCTGTGGTGGGAGATCCTGTCCCCTGACTTCCAGGGAGCTGGGCAGTGTTCCCAGGAGAAAGGTCCAAGTTAGTCCACCAAGCACTAGGAGCAGTGCTGAGTCCATCCCTAAAAATGGGGACAATATCCCCCTACTTGCACCAGAGATCAGTCATTTTGGGAGAGGTGAGGCAGGGAGGGCTGGCTGTAGCAGAGAGCTCTGATGTTTTGTGCTCCCCTTCCTCTGGGGACGGTGCTGACATGACACTTGCTGTCTCCAACATCCCCAGTCTACTCTGCTGGGATGTTGGGATGTGGCAGTTAATGCTGAGGGTCTGGTTCTAGAGGTGAAGTCCCCTGGTTGCAAGCATCCCTGCATGAGGCACCAGTGCAAACCTGCCTCTCCTGGATCCCTGCAGGAGAAGCGGGACTGCAGTGCAGCTCAGACATCTCTGCGCCTGCCATTCCCATGCAGAGCCTGAGCAAGCCCTGGGCATGGGGATCCCACTGGCTGCTCACAGCACATGGTGGGTCAGGGCTCGAGGGACACAAAGAGGCTGTAACCAGGGTCTTTAGCCCCATGGTCTATGACCAGAAGGGGTGGCAATGGCCAAGGAGCCAGCAGGAAGGGACTTGTCCCTGCATGCAGAGGATGTAGGGACATCCCTCTCCATCTTCGCCAGAAAAGAAGCGTTTCCAGCATCACAGCATCACATCCCGGCGTGTCACATCTTCTCCCAGGGGATTTATGGCTTCTGTGTCTTGGGAGCAGCCTGGAAAAGTGGGTGTTGGGACTGATCCTGCCTTAGCAAGCCAAGAAACAGCTCGGGGCAGTGATAGGGATCCACCTATAGCTCAGGTTCCTGGTGCCAGTGGGTGACATCCCCCACTGCTGTGACACCAGCACTGGGGTCTCCATGGTGTGTACCTGTAGTTCCACACAGCCTCGGCTAAAATGCTTTTTCACCCAAATCAGCAGCTCTAAATGAGTGAACTGAGCTTCCGACGGTTGTTGTTTCCCTGCAGTGACGCACGGCTTCTAGATAATGTCCAAGGAATCCCTCCTGCCAGGGGATGGATTCATCCCTTATGGTCAGCCTCTGCCCAGAGCAGCATCACTGCCAGGGCGGGGGCTGACAGTGTCCTTCCCAGGGGAGCAGAGCCTGGGTCTTTGCTCACTGCTCTGCTCTGCTCAGCCAAAGGGGTACCCAGGTCAGATAATCGGGCATAGATTAGCCTGGCTTCATTAATGCACTCAAAAGCTACCCATGCACCTTGGCTGGGGCACAGCCTCCTTCTGCTCAGGCAAGGACTGAGGGTAAATGCTCTGTGCAAAGGCTAAATGAAGTCCTTGGTTACTGCACAGGCTCTTGCATCTTCAGAGCCTCCCTTGCTGTGTTACTGGGTTTGGATTTATTTTGGTGTGGTTGCAGGGTCACATCTGCTGTGGGGAAAGTCCAGATGAAGCCCATGAGGGAAGGGCCTGCCTGTCTGTTGCGGCCAGGGAGGGCAAATGTGGTCCTGCTGTCTGAACTGGGGCTGATCCTGTCCAGCTCTCCCCATCCTCAGCCCTGCATCCCTCCTCCTCCTTCTTTGGTGGCCCTGGTCCCCTCACTCATGGGATCAAAGTGGTCAGAAAGCATCCCCAATGAAAATGGGTGATTTTCTGCACATTTATGTCCATGTGCTGGTTATGGCCAGTGAGAACCAGTAGCTGGTTCCTGGCAGGAACAAGACTAGAGAGCTAGAACCCTCTCCAGCCTGTTTCCATCTGTCCAGCCTCTTCTCATACAACATTTACCTGTCCTCCTGCAGACAGTGACTGGATTCTGAATGAGCTGGGGATTAGTTTTGGACATTTTACATTGCATTTTCTTAGGAGGCCAAGCACTCGGAGCAGAGAGGTTGACCATGGATCCAACCTCAGCTCCTCTTTGCTGGCAGTGAGGAAAATGAGCACTGTAAGGGGACAAGTGAAGTGGAACCTGAAGTGTCTCTGGCAGGAGAAGCTCAGGTCACTTCGGCACTGCTGAGTCCTAAGTGGGGAGGCTGAGCACTGGTGAGCAGGCTCCATGCTGGGTCACCAGCTCCCCTCCCACGTGTGGGCAGGTAGGATGAGGATGTGGAAAACCACTGACACAATTAGCACCAGGCTGGGTTTCACTTCATCAGGAAGGCTCCATGGGACAGGGCACAGCCCCGTCACTGCCGCCCGGCGCCAGCGATGTGGGTCTCCTACAGCACTGGGAATCCCAATGCTCTTCCCAGCAGGTAATATTTTGTGGACCACAGTGTCGAGCAGCTCGCTGTTTGTGTAAGGCTGCTCTTGTGCATGCAAGGGCTTAGAGGAATCCTTCTCTTTCCTTCTGTAACCACTGAAGGGGGTGATCTGTAATTTTTGAAACTAGGAGGATGAGTTCTGCACATAACAGGAGGCACATCTCATTTCAGAGAATCATAGAATGGTTTGCATTGGAAAGGACCTTCAAGGTCATGTAGTGACAGGCCAAGGGGAATGGCTTTAACCTGCCAGAGGGGAAACTGAGATGAGCTCTTAGGCAGAAGCTCTTCCCTGTGAGGGTGCTGAGGCGCTGGCACAGGGTGCCCAGAGAAGCTGTGGCTGCCCCATCCCTGGCAGTGTTCAAGGCCAGGTTGGACACAGGGGCTTGGAGCAAGCTGCTCTAGTGGAAGGTGTTCCTGCCCGTGGCAGGGGCTGGAGCTGGAGGAGCTTTTAGGTCCTTTCCAACACAAACCAGTCTGGGGTTCTATGATTCTATGAGCAAGCTGAGCTGGAGGAGAGCTGGAATCTCCTCCCTGCTCCTGGCCCTGGACCAAGCTGCCCACCAGCTGTGCAAGCAGAGGCAGTTGTTTTGCTCTCATAAGACCCTGGCCTGCAGAAGGACCCTGTCCTCACCTCCCTTGTCCTCTCTGCCATCAGCTGTGGCTGGGAGCTGCTCCCATGGTGCTGCTGCGCGGCGGGCGGTGGAAACCGCCTTGGTGGCTCAGTGCCAGGCGTGTTATCCAGCCCAGAAATAGAGGCTCCATGGACCTGGGGTGGGTTTGAACACTTGGCGTGCCGCAGGAAACCTTTAATGAGCTTCTGAGAGCTGCTGAAAGCAGGATGCGCCCGAGGCTCCAGTGGTGCGTGGCGGGGGCATTCCCACACGTGTCCGTCCATCTCCTCCTGCAGCTGCAGAGCTGTTGGCTTTGGGGATGGATATTTACAAGTTTAGGACTGGCCTGGGTAGTTAGGTCCTAAATCTACAAATATCCTAAAGAAAGCAAAGACCTGAACACAAGCGTGGGCTGAAGGCCTGGCGGTGCTTGGAGGGATGCAGGGAACTGGTGGGACTGGGATGTTATTGCTGCCTGTGCTGCTTTGGGGACCACTGGAGGCAGGCTCCCTGTCTTCAGCCATAAATGTGGGTGTTGCAGGGAAATGCAGAATTCAGAGCTATGTGCTGGTATTTTTTATCTTCCCTAAAGGCAAGGAGAGAGGAAAAGCTGCGGGCTGGGATGCTGAAAGCAGTGCTGCGGCTCCCTCGGGCTGTGAGCACGGGCAGCACAGTCCTGTGGTTGCTGCTGTGCCCGTGGATGGGAAGACAGGAGAGGGCAACACTCTAGGGAGATGCTTCCTTGTGGTAGGCACTGGGGGTGCAGGACCACAAGGTGCCGGGTGCGTGGGCTGGAAGGGATCTGACTGAGGGGTAGATGGCTACAGCTGAACATCTCAGCAGTGGTATCGTGCACAGAAGATGCTGCATTTCCTCTGCTCCCCTGCAGCTGCCCTATGCTGGCTCCCCCCTGCCTGTAGTCATGTCATAGGCAAATCTCCCTTCCTTCCTCCTCGGCTCACAGGGTTTATATTTTTTTTCCTCTTTCTTTGATAGAACAATGCTTGAGGGCAAAGGAAGCTGTCCAGCTCTGGACTGGTCTCCCTCTGCAGCGTAACCAGCTCCGGAGCTTTCCCTGGGGTTTGTGTCTTGGATGCTGGCTCAGGATGGCAGCAGCTCAGCACACACCGAGCATGGAAACCTCTTGGCAATTTGGACTCTTTTTTTTTTTCCTGGTTGGACCTTGCATTTCAGACTCTGTTTTTCACCTGAGCATTTCTTCTTAAATCCCAGGGAGGATGTGGTTCCCTCTCCTGCCCTGCTCAGTGATGCTCACCCCTGGGGTCCTCCTTGCTGCAGGAGGCTTTGGGGGGCAAGTGTTCAGATGGGTTCAGCTCTGAGCTGCAGCTTTCTCAGTGAAGCACAGCCCCTGAGCCATGCTGTGCTCACCCATAGAGCTCTGCCTCCCTCCCTGCCGTGCATCCTCTGTGCTGAGTTCCCATGCCCACAGTGTCCCAGTGCCTCTGCGCTCCCCACCAAGGTCCAGGCTGATCCTGGTCTTCACCGCCAGACTCAGCCAAGTGTCCCTGTCTTTCTGCAGGTGGGACACAGGACCCAAGGCCATGCCCATGTGGAGTGAGGAGCAGCTCTGCACCCACCCATCACTGCGGACACCCTGTGGCCGTCGAGCCCCCCCTACGCTGCAGCCTCAGCCCAGCCATGGACAGCGCAGGTGGGTGATGCTGAGACCCCGGTGTGGGGGATCCCAACCCAATGAACCCCCTTCATCCTTCTTGTGCCTTGGTTGCCCTCTGATAAAGTATGTGGGTATCTGAGGAGGCCTCGTTGCCTCTGGGCAGACCTTGGTCTTTGCAAGGTGTTGGCAGACCCTGCTGGACAGCTGGGAAATGAGGCACGAAGCCACTGCAAGGCATCGAGAAGGTTTGCTGCAGGGCACTTTGACGCCACCAGCTCTGGCAAAGACTCACATCAATTTTAAAGGTTTTTGTGTTTGTGGGTTTTGGTGTCCATCCTCCCCCACTCTCCATGTGTTTTGTTTTCATGCTGGTTCACAAGGTGCTTTTGCTCTCCCGGCACCCTGAGGTCAGGATATTGATGCTGAAACGTTTTATTTCATTTCTAAGCCACTACCGCTTGTTACTGGTGGGTTGAGACTGTTTTTAGATCAAAGTCCCTCTTGTTTGTGTTGGAGCCGAAGCTCTGCTCCCCATGAAGGAACCTCAGTGTATAGGGGCTGTAACATCTTTGATTTAGAAAAGAGGAGAGTATTTATATCAGTGCTCAGGAAAAGCTTCCCTGGTAATTAACATACACAAATGGAAAGAATAGGAAATTCCAAATAGTCCATTATTGCAGAATTCCCTAGTGCAAAGCCCGTGAACATAACAGTGAAACAGGAGCTTCACAGAGTCACTGGGGAGAAAACAGGCAGAGAAAACACACATTTTCGAGACATTTCCCCAAATGACACTCCCACAAGGAGGAAGATCCCATTTCCAAGGCCATTTCGGCACCACCATTTCTCCCTGGGTGGGGTGCGATGGCACAAACTGTGTGGGGAGTTCCCCTGTACACACACAGTGCTTCACCAGCACTTGGGAGGAACCATGACCCGGGTGTGTGGTTGTTTTCAGGTGCAGCTTCCACTGAAGCCACAGCGCTTTCTCCTCTGCAGAAGAAGCCTGAATTGAATGCATGCTCTGTTACAAGCATCCTTAAGGAGATGACCCGTTTTGGGGGCATACTCAGGAATAGGCCATCCCATCCCAATACTTTACACTTTGCATTTCCCAGTTGTCTTTTATGCAGGGCTCATGTCTGCTGCCCCTGTGCCCTGGTCACCACCTTTCTGCACCTATGGCACTGCAGTCTCAGGCTTGGAGAGGACAAGAGGGGCTTGTCATGCCTGGCCAGGCCGCCCGCCCTGTGAGCTGATGATGATGGCAGCAAGGATGCTGTGAGGGGCAAAATGCTCCTGCTCTCTGTAGCGTATCACCAGTGGGAACAGTGGCAACTTGGCATGCTGCGTCTGCTCCCCTGTATGATAACCCTGGGCAACCACTAAAATACATGGTATAAGAGGAAAAAATCATGTTTTTCACTTCAAACCCATCCTGGGATGGTGCACAGGTCTCCATGGGATGAGGGGCCAAGTGCTAAGCTGCTCCATCTCCTGCATGATCAGCGCTGCCTGCTTCACCAACCACTCACAGCCTGGTTGGCTTTATTTCCTTCCAGAGCCAAAGAAGGAGGTTTGGAGGCTGTAGTCCCTGAGCACCCTCTTTAGTGTCACCCTGGCTGCCTCCTCTGTTTCTTGTAGGTAAAGATGAGTGCCTGCCCGTGCCCTCCATCTCTCCGGTATTAGGAAAGATGGAGCTGTGACAGAAGAGAGGGAAATAGAAAACTCAGGAGCAAAACTGGGCAGGAAATGTGGTGGCAATGGCACTGATCCCAAAGGCACCCCCATGTGGATGAGACTCCTCAGACGGGGCAGTATGTGTCTGGAGCTTCCTTAGGATCTGGACAAATTGCTCCTTGCTTGCGTCCTTGCCATGAAGGCGAGAGGCACTCAGCTGCTACTGGCAATGGTCTGGGCCCCACCAGTGGACACAGGGCCAGGAACATGCCCTGGGAAAAGGCCCTGGATTATTGTTACTACAAACATCTGAGATGCTTCCCTGGGTCAGGGCATGCTCTGCCTGCCCCAGCCCACAGCTTCATACAGAAGGAGAACATCGCATGATGAATACCCAACCTTAGAGGATGCACTTGTTCTTATTACAAAGGAAGAACCATTTTGCTGATAGACAAGGAGTGGCCCAGTGTAAGAGGGGACACAAAGACTGGCCATGGTGGAGTACAGGGACCTTGCAGCTTGCCTGGCCAATACCCCACACACTCTCAGGGCTGACTCTGATTTCACACGTGCTCTGTGTTGGCATGCATGTCCAGCCAGCTGCGCACGAGCTCACTTGTCATCATGAGTCCTTGCCCCAGCCCGGTCTGAGGTTGTCAGGTTATTTTTGGCTGAAGCAGGATGCTGGTTTTGACGTGTACGAGGGTGTGTGGTGGTTACCAGGGAGCAGCACCCACATCGGGTCCCTGCCTGGGGAGCTGAAGGTGCGCAGTGCCCAAGGGTGGCTGGTTGCACCCAGGGGGGCTGCGAGGGGGCACGGGCAGGAGGCAGGAGGTGATGTGGTGGCTCTGCCTGGGTTTCCCATGCAGGGTAAGGTGCTGGTGTAGGCAGCAGGCCTTGTGGCGGTTGTGCTCCTTGCAATGGGTCTGAAGTTGAGACTGAATCCATGCAGTGCCAAAGCACAGTGCTCTTTAACAAGGAACAAGGGATGGGACAAGAGGAAACGGCCTCAAGCTGCACCAGGACAGGTTTAGATGGAGCTGAGGAACAATTCCTGCCCCAGAGGGTGCTCAGGCATTGGAACAGGCTGCCCAGGGCAGGGCTGCAGGCACCGTCCCTGCAGGTGTTCACACAGTGTGGGGACGAGGCCTCAGTGCCATGGGTTAGGGGTGGCCTTGGCACTGCTGGGGTAAGGGTTGGACTGGATGAGCTTAAAGGGCTTTTCCAACCCAGTTGATTCTGTGACTGATGGTGCTGCACTGTGGTTTATTTTTGTTTCTATATTTAATGTGTAGTTTCTTTATCAAACAAGGGGAGAGCTCATGTGTGAGCAATGTTCTGCAGAGCTTCACCACCATGGCCCTGCAGGAGCACTTTGCTCTCCAGCGTAGCTGCTGGGGCTACCAATCCACAGGGTGGCACTTGCTCCCTGCTCCGGTTCCATGGAGGCTCCTCCAGGCTCGAAACCTGCTGCGGCCGCCGTCCTGAGGGATGCGGTGAGGGCGCAGTCCCTGTGCGCACCCGGACCCAGCCTCCTCCTCCGGGGCTGCCCCTGCCTGCAGCCTCACGTCCTCTTTGTCCCCGCAGAGGTGGAATCGGACATCCTGCGCCGCGTCCGCACGCTGCTGCGGGAGCTCGATGGGCACCACCCCGCCTGCCAGTGCGACCGAGGTAGGAGCTCCCGCCTCGCTGGGGCACTGCTTAGCCCCAAACCCACATCGCTCCCCGCGGTGGGGGGACACGGGGCGGCCCTTTCCACCCTGCTCTGGGAGCTCTCTGCCCCTCGGCAGCTTCCATCCCTCCTCTACGTGTCTCAGCATCCCCGACACCCTTCACCTGCCCCGCAGGTCCAGCACTGAGGTGGGATGACATCCAGCGCAAGTCTGTGACACTGTTCCCACACAGACCTGTCCAGCTCACTGAACACCTCGAGCTGGGAGCCTCCCTGTCTCTCCCTGCGTGATATTGCTTTGCCGCATGCTGCTCAGCTCCTCCTAAAGTGTCAGTTGAAATGCCCGTGCTGGTTTTGGAGAAGAAAACCCTTGCTGACCTGGCAGCTGGACTGCTGCAGCTTCAGGAAATGAATTCATTCTGAAGAACTGATTTTACTTGGAGTGCATGGGATATTTTACAGTTCATTAAATTCAGTTTTGTCTGGAATGAGCCTTGCCATCCTCAGGACTGAGGTCCTTTGGGTCCTTGCTCTGAGTGTGACCCATTGGCAGCCAGCATTCGAGTGCTGTGTGCTGGGGCCAGAGGAACCCAAATTCTTTGGGGCAGGCGGTGAAAGCAGGCAGAGCAACATAAGGAACAGCAAGCAGAAACTCACATCCATTGCCTGCCTTGTTTTTACAGCCCTCCCCCCCCCCAGTCCTAGGATCTCTGGGTCATTTTTCCAGAGGTTTCCCAGTGTTAAAGGTGCAATACATCAATGCTGCATCTAGAACCGGGGTAGCAGCATGACTTGTCCCTTGCAGAGGGTCAGTGACTGAAGCAGGGGGCAGCAAAGCCTTGTTTAGCTCTGATGGTGCTGTCAGTGTAGCATCCCAGTGGGTGATTGCTGCAGCAGCAGTGCCCAGGTCTCCTGGTTCCTCAGTGAAACACTGCCCCTGAGCCATCACTGCTCTGCATCTGACACCTTCCTTGGCTTTCACTCCTCAGGGATGCTGCGATGGACCCTGCATAAGAAAATCGACCAGAACCCCAGTAACAGCTCTGTCCTGGTCAGGATCCTGGTGAAGGAGCTGGAAAGGGTGAGTGCTGCCTCACAGACATCCCTGGAGCGCCAGGATCAGCCCCATCCATGGCACATGCTCCTCTGCAGTGCCTGGGGGAGCAGAGGATGGGTCCTCAGCTCCACCTCAAACAGATGCTTTTAGGGGCCTTGAGCCTGGCTGGGGACTGGTGTTCACAGCGCAGTGAAACACCATGGGACAGCAGGGCAGAGCTGGAGCTTGGCCCAGCTGATGGCTGCAGGGACCGGAGATTGCCCCAGCAGTGACAGTGAGCTGTGGGCAGAGCAGGGAACCTCCCCAGGCTCCTCAGTGCTGCAGGGGCAGAAAACAGCCTTTGAGCTTGTAAGGAGCAGAGTGAGAAACCCTTCTGACCACCCCAGATCTCCCTCACCCTGCCCCTGCCAGCTGCAGGACAAGCAGAGTGGGTTTCTGCCCTGCTTCACTCATTTCCACCCCAGAGCATGTCAGAGCAGAACCCCCAGTGCAGGTCCTGTCCTGAGAGCAGCTGCTGGAAAACTTGACGGGTTCTTTGTTTCACTGATTTCTCTTGTCATGTTCTGGTCTCATGGAAACCTTCAGCGCTCGCAGCACCCGGTGGGGCCTGGTCTGTGGTCTGGAGAGGTGTCTAGAAGTAATACCTTTTCTTTCTGATGAGCCTGTTTACCCAGCGCCTTCTCATTCCGATGCCAGGAGGAACATCCCTTGTCCCCACTCCTCCTCCTCCTCCCCATGCTGGTGATGAGCCCCTGCCACCCATCCTGTGTGCAGAACCTCCCAGTACCATCTGCTCCGCATCTTTGCTAGTTCTCCCTTTGAGCTGGAAGGATGGAGCTGCCCTGCTCAGCATCGCTCAGCTCCCATGTCTCTGGGTGCTGCTCAGTGCCTCTGCAGACCCTGTCGCCTCCCTCCATCAACACCCATATCACACTCTTGAGCCAAGGTGCCAGCACAGCACAGGTCCTTGGGCACATATCGAAGCACTGTGAACATCCTGCAGTTATTCCTCATGCTTGAGTTCCATCAGGGCCATGGGCAGATATGAGCCGGTCTCAGCAATTGTTATTCATGTTGATTTCTAAAGCTTTGCTTCCCATTGAACTGGGATCCATCAGCACAGCAGCCCTGAAGGAAGGCGCTGGAAATATCTTTGAGGTGAAATTGTCTTCCCCAGTTTTATCCAGGAGCATTCCTGTTGTTGGAGCTGCTGTTAGAGCCAGACCAGGCTGCAGGGAGGGGATGGATCTGTGTCAGCCAGAGCAACCATCTGGCTTCCCATGGGCCAAGATGGGGATGCAAGACCATCTCTCCTCCCTGTTTACTCTGGTCCCACACCCACCAAATGTAAATCAGGCTTTTCCCAGAGGTCTTGTATTTCCACATGAGTTTTTGCAACAGAAAGCTCCTCAGTGAGCTCAATTAGAAACTTCTGCTGGTTCTCTCCCACCGTGGCTGCTGCATGGGCAAATCACACTCTGGTAGCAGCTCCTGGGGCTCCACATCCTTACAGCCACCTCCAGCCCTGTGGTCCATTCCCCTACACCCCTCCCCAGGGCTTAGCTGTATGGGATGCCCACTATGCAGGACCCACTGCCCCAGGGACATCTTGCCTGTCAGGGATCCCAAACCTCACCTTGACACAGGGAGCATCACCCCTAAGCCAGGGCATCAGAGTGACTGCACAGACAGAACCCAGCACATGCTGGGGTCTCCAGTAGCTCCTCTGGCTCTGGTGTCTCCCGTCCCAGCACCCTGCAGGGTGCTGATGGTTCCTTTTGGTCCCACAGGCAGAGAGAGGTGACTTCAGGCATTACATCATCCCCCTGCTGCACACGCTGATGTACGCCTTGATCAAGGTGAGTTGCTTGTGGGGCTTCACTGGGGCAAGATCCAGGGAAATCAGAGCCCACAGGAGGGGCCACCTGAGGTCACTCAGCACCTATTCCTGTGCTGAGATATCCCAGCAAAGTCCTGGGGGTACCACAGGTGGACTCAAACGTGCATTTTGCAGTGTGCTGTTTGGTGGCTGAGGCACTGTGAGCTCTGCCGTGTGGAAGTGATAGGCCCTTCCAGCTCATCCCCTCCTCTGGAGCTCTTCAGGTGCCTGGTGGTGCAGGAAGCCACAGCCTGGCAAAAACGTGCTCCCTGCCCTTCAGTGGGTACTGCTGGAGGTTTCCAAACCATTGCTGGGCCTGGTTCTGCTTCTTCTATTGCATTTAAATCCATGTCGAGCTCGGTGCAGTTCTGTGCATTCCCACCCTGGGGTGTGCTGTGGGGAGAGCACCCTTAGGGATCACTGCCTGTGGCATCTCCTTATCTGCCCCTTTCTCACTCCAGGCTCCCTGCATCTCCGACGAGCTCTGTGGCAGAGTGTATGACTTCTGCAAGAAGCTGCTCACCCTGCCCAAGCCTTTCTGCACCATTGGCTTGGACTATGCCGTCAGGCTGAAGATGGAAAGGACAGCACCAGGTACGAGGGCTCTCTCTTCTGCCCATGCATGGCACAGTGAATGGCTTGGGTCCTGGAGGCAATGGCAGTGAGATCCTGGGGGGATTTCTATCCCTCTGTTGGCCTTTGCCTAATGCAGGGAGCCGTGGCAGGGATTTCTGCAGGGGGTGGACAAATGCTTGCGAGTGTTAAGGGTGCATTTGGATGTAGGGTTCCCCTCTCCTGATTTCAGGCTGTTGAGCCTTAGTTACTAGCAGAAAACATTGGGGTCTTCCTGCTGTTGGTGTAGGCACCACCAGAACCAAGTCCAGCCTGTCTAATGCCAGGTATACATACAACATCTGTGAGGAAAGGTTGCTTACACTCTGTATGCTCCAGCATGGACATCTCAGTACATTTTGTGGAGGTCTCCTTTCCCAAAGTGAAATCTCCGAGACATAGTTGCAGGCTGAGGGCATGGGCTCTCCTCCAGTACCCGTGCATCAGGTTTTAGACACTAAAACATCATTAGCTTCTGCAGAGAACAACCCTTTAGGAAGCAAGCCAGAGGACAGCTCTAGTTTCATTTTTCTGTGTTGCTCTTTATAATGCTTCTGATTAAAGTATTGTCTTTAAAAGCAATCCTGTAAAATAGTGCGAGGTGCAGATAGCTTGTGACGTGGAGGAAGAATTTGAGAGACCTGGTGGGACATGAGGAAGTGCCATTCTTGGTAGTCAGCTCACCAGCATCACTCCAACCATTCTTCCCCAGTACTGCATTGCCTGGAGCTCCAGGTCCACCTTTAATTCACCCAACTTGGTGAAAGAAGGATTCAGTGTGGGGAGATGGGGATGTCCAGCGGGGTTCACAAGGTTCATGAGATGGTTGCAATGTGGGGTGGATGTATCTTCCCCACGCAAGAGCTGGGTGAGGGCAAAGCACGTCTCTCCTGATTCAGAAGTATGTTGTGCTCATATCCACCAAACGCTGTCTCCTGACCTGGCCCTGGGCAGGGAGGCTGGGAGCAGGGCTCTTCCTCCTACTTCCGACCCTGCTCCCAAGCTCATAATCCACTAAACAAAGGAAGGGAAATACAGGAAATAGTCCCTGAATAGGAGTTTTCTTTTTCTGTAACATGGTCTATCTTTGTCCTGGACTATTTTTAACTCTGGGCCTGATTCTTGGCTTACATCACTGCAGTGTGTTCACCGACTTGGCAGACCCACAACCAGGAGTAGTGCTGAGCAGCTCCAGGGAGCTGTGTTGTCGTTTCTCATGCTCTGACTCCTCCGTGTTTATTCTTGCATTTCCTAGGAATGTTGTACCAGAGAATGGTCATTTCCGAACAAAGCCTCAAAAGTGACCCATATCCTTATCAGGAAAAGTGAGTATTGTTACTTTAATTTCTTTTATAGTCTCACAGTGAAATCTGGCCTTTTCCTGCCCTGAATTAATGTTGATTGGAACAGGAAATTTGGACATAACCCACATGGCAGTTTGTGCTGCTGGGGGAAACAATTTGGTGGCATCAAGTGCCTTGCTAAAATGAGCTTTGCATTCCTTCCATGTACTCCAATTTATTTCTGTGGCCCTGGGAGGCAGGGAGCTTCCTTTGGTGGGAAGACAGGGCATAGAAGGGGGATATCAGCAGCAACCATTTTTCTTTGCATGGGATAATGGATATGCCCTGATATCAGTAATGTGAAGTCCTCATCTTAGAATCACAGAATCCCAGACTGGTTTGTGTTGGAAGGGACCTTAAAGCTCCTCCAGCTCCAACCCCTGCCACAGGCAGGGACCCCTTCCACTAGAGCAGCTTGCTCCAAGCCCCTGTGTCCAACCTGGCCTTGAACACTGCCAGGGATGGGGCAGCCACAGCTTCTCTGGGCACCCTGTGCCAGCGCCTCAGCACCCTCACAGGGAAGAGCTTCTGCCTAAGAGCTCATCTCAGTCTCCCCTCTGGCAGGTTAAAGCCATTCCCCTTGGCCTGTCCCTACATCCCTTGTCCAAAGCCCCTCTCCAGGTTTCCTGCAGCCCTTTAGGTATTAGAAGCCTGCTCTGAGGTCTCCCTGAGCCTTCTCTTCCTTTTTCCCTCACTCCTCCCACGCAGGATTTTCATCTTTGCTGATCCAGAGCTGCTCTCTGAAGCCATCTGCAATGCACTGGTCACCGACACGGAGGCAGCTCAGGTCTCGCAGAGCCCGCAGGCATGCATGTGCTACGTGATCATCCATGCCATGCAGGCAGCCCTGGGAGAGGGCTGCGACGTCAGTGGCTTGAAGGCGAGCCTCCAGGTAAGGGGCAGCACTTCTGCAGCACCACGTGTGGTTTCCCGATGGTCCTGCTCTTGCTGGGCACCTCTGAGCAGAGGAAGATGTTACAGCAAGTGGAGAAGCCCTGCTGGGTCCTCACTGCTGGTCTCCAGCCCCAGCGGTACTTGCAAGGCTGGGCTATGAGCAGAGCTGGTGGCACACTAAAAACCTCTTCAAATACAAAAGACTTGCTGCAGGAGGAGCCAAAGGTTCTGGATCTTCAGTTTGAGTCTTCAGTTTTGCACAGCAAAGCTGGGCTCTGCTGTGAAATACCCGCTCCTCCTTGAGCCGCTGGGCATTGCAGGGCCTCGCAGTGGACACGTTTCAACCAGTTTCCTCCAAAACCTCCAAGGAGCTGTGGGGTCACAGTAAGACAAATGGTTTTAAAAGGCAGCTCTGCAGGGGCTGTCAGTGATTTCCACTCCAAGGACACCTTGGTGTGCCTGCTGTCCCCATCTCCTGAGGGTCGCGTGAGCTGCCAGCTCTGCTGCAGCTCATGCCCACCAGCTGAAAACCTGCCAGAAATAGCTTCAAGTAGATAGTACAGCCAGCACCCCTCCTCCTCCAGCCTTCCCCGTGGGCAAGAGGACATCTGTGTCCTCTGCTGTGAAACACTGATTTTGGCAGGACTCACTTGCCGTCTCTCTGCCCCATCCTGTGGCCCTGTGTGCAGCACCACCTCTTTTCATGCTTCCGGGTGTTAACAGCCTCTCCTCATGACAGGATATGCCCAGCACCGATGTGGAGCACTGGTTCCAGCAAGTGGTGCTGGCAGTGGAGTGTGCAGGAAGCGAGTCTGGCACCGACCGCGGGCAGCACGCAGCGAGGCTGGAGAAGATCCACCACAGCATCCTCGGCTCCTCACAAGCAGGTGAGCTCCAGCCAGCCATGCACAGGGGTCCGGGGAGCCGAGCAAGCTGCCAGGACCTTGCCTCTGTGCCCTCCTGTGGCTGTCCATCCCCACCTCCCTTCTGCCTCCACTTCAGCAGCACCCACCACTGGCATCAGGTCCTTGCAGCCTGGCTCTTTGCTGCGACCTGATGTCCAGGAGAAACTGCACGTGGCTGTGAAAGGCAGACTTGTCACCTGAGGAAAGGGACTGTGGCAATTACTGCTGCTAATTGAGGTGCCCTGGGGCCCAGAGGCATGCGTCTGTCATTTGCAAAGGGTGGACAGACTTTCTAGTGCTCTGCTGGTGCAAGACACATCCTGCTGTGGCCCTGGCTGAGGAGACACTGCATCACTCGAGACGTCCTTGTACTACTGTGGTGGGCAGTGGTGCTGCCATCTCCTTCCATCCCTTGCAGTGCTCTGTTCCAGCCTGGTCCCAAGGGGCTGCACAGGCTATAAGGAACATCCCAGTCCATCACAGCTCCTCACACGAATCTGTGTGAGGGAGAGGAGGAGGAACATCTCCTTCAGTGGCAGTGAGCTATTGAATTCTCGCTGCTTCTCACAGAGCCATAATGGGATAAAGGTCACCAGCAATGGTGGGGTCAGAGGGCTCCCTTGCATTTCAGCTGAGATTGCCAAGAGATAGCGTGGGCTATATCAGCGGGGGCCTGAAGCACAGCACCAGTGGGGTTCATGCACCTCTGTGGGAAAACTGCTTCTGTGTTACAACATCCTTGTCTCCCCTAGGCAATGCTCCCCTGGGAGGGATGCAGGGTGCCCCTCTCCCCAACCCCAACATCAGTTTTCACCTCTGGACTGAAGATGACCAGCTCTGTGAGTGCCCTGGGGGGGGGGGTGGGGGGGTTGGATGGTGCCTGAGGCTGGGAACCCTGTGCAAAACATTTTAGTCCTGGTTCTCGAGCAGTGAGTTTCACAACCTTTGCTGAAAGGCCAAGCCCATGGAGGCTCCTGCTGACTGTGGGGCTGACCTGTGGGCTGCTGGGGTCAGATCAGGGGATTAGGGGGGAAAAGGGATGAAGGAGATGAGGAAGGAGCCCCCATGGGACAGGCTGCAGCAGGATGTCCCCAGAGTCTCCCGTCTGATACTGAGCTCTCTTCGCGGTGCAGTGAGGCAGGACTGGAAGAGTGACTCCTCTTGGAGGAGGACTGGCATAAGAAGAGGGAAGCCGGGGCAGGACTAGAGCTCAGCCTGCCCTCGGCTGTATTTCGCTCCTCAAGCTCGGTTCTGCCCGCAGGGAAGGAGTTGGTGCTGTTCATCCGCCCGCTGTCGCAGAGCTGCGAGCCCGACTGCCTCAGCCAGGACCTGGACAGCTTCGAGATCCAGGACATCATTTCGGGCTGCGAGCGCTGCGAGCAGAGCCGCTTCTCGGTGCTCTCCACTGACAGCGGCATCGAGCGCGACCTGCCCGCGGCGGGCGAGGAGCCCCTCGCGCCCTGCAGCGGCGAAGCGGAGCTCTCCCGGCTCCACAGGAAGGGCGGCATCAAGAAGAAGCCGTCGCCGCTGGAGAGCGTGGCCTTCCTGCAGGCTGGCTGCAACGGCCCCGCCGCAAAGCCCCCCGCGAAGCTGCAGAGGGGACCGGGCAGCCCCCCCGCGCCGGCAGCCCCGCTCCAGAGGCTGCACACTGCCCGCATCCTGCTGCTGGGCGACGACCGCATCCTGGGGCGCCTGGCGCAAGCCTACCACTCCTTGAGGTAAGCAGTGGCCACAGCCTCTGCGAGGCTTTGCTCTTCAGGTGGTTAAAGTAGCCAAGAAGGCTGGGGATGGGGTTGGGCTCCAGCATTACCTGGGACAGGATGGGACCTTGGTGTTTTGCGCCTAAGGATGAAGCCAGGCTGAGAGAGCTGGGCTGGGTCAGCCTGGAGAACAAAAGGCTCCTGAAGGGGAGACCTGAGAGCAGCTCCAGTGCCTGAAGGGGCTGCAGGAAAGCTGGAGAGGGGCTTGGGACAAGGGATGTAGGGACAGGCCAAGGGGAATGGCTTTAACCTGCAAGAGGGGAGACTGAGATGAGCTCTTAGGCAGAAGCTCTTCCCTGTGAGGGTGCTGAGGCGCTGGCACAGGGTGCCCAGAGGAGCTGTGGCTGCCCCATCCCTGGCAGTGTTCAAGGGCAGGTTGGACACAGGGGCTTGGAGCAAGCTGCTCTAGTGGAAGGGGTCCCTGCCTGTGGCAGGGGTTGGAACTGGACGAGGTTTAAGGTCATTTCCAACACAAACCATTCTATGATGCTATGATTCAAACGCATCTGATTTCACTGGCTGCATGGCATCATTTGGCTGTTACTCCAAATAATGCACACAGTGGGTTCTTCGCTTCTGTCCATGGAAGGAGCTAAATGAACAATAAATGAGGCAAGACGTTTCGTATGCAAAAGAAGATCCTAAAGAAAAGCTGTTTTCCAGGTGGCTTTTTCCAGCTGGTTCACCTGATCCAGAAGAGCAGCATGGGGTGGGTCTGGGTCATGGTGCAGGCAGCAGAGCTGGGTGCAGAGTGTTGCATGTGTCCCAGCTGAGCACCTGTGTGCAAGACACCCCTTTCCCCCATCATCTCCCCTTGCTCACATTGGGAACCCAGGGACACTGCTTGCCATCCTGTGCCACTGGGCTAAGGAGGGGTGTGAGCAGGGCATGTGTTCCTGTAACAGAGCCGCTGCGGTCTCCAGGCACTGCCCAGCCTTGGCAAGAGCCAAGTTCTTCCTTCCACCTCCCCCTGTGACATGGCTGCTTATTTTCCACTCCAAGGAAGCGGGAGACACGGCGAGTTTTCCTGACTTCCAGGCTGAACCTGCAGTTCTACTACATCCCGGTGGTGACGGGGCAGCCAAACACCTTGGATGTTACGGTGGGTCTGGGCTCTGCTGCTGGTTGCCAGCACCTGACAGTGGTTTAGGAGGAAGAGGAGGGGATTTACTGGAAATTCATATCCGTTAATGCCTTGTTCCTAGAACAAAGAGGATGGGAGCCAAGACAGGGTGCCTGGGCTTAGTTTGCACACTGGCTTCAGGGATCCATCAGCCTGAGACATTCAGGTTGCTCCAATTAGCCTGATGGGTGATAATGCACAACCTAGAAGCAGTATTCAGTTTTGCTTCTATAGCTCAGTAATAGGAAGATTGAGAGAGCTTTAGCAAAGGAGTGATGCTTTCCTCACCTCTCAAACACCTAGGGGAAGTGGTCACCCTCACTGAAAGCTTTGACTGCTTGGTCATGGTCCATTCTAGTTCTACAAGTCATTACCTTCCAGTCTATCATGGGCACACCTCTTCCCCTCTGGCAGCCTCATGACAGCAGTAAATAAACAGTTGCACTTTACACAGTATTTTAAGCTGGCCCAGAGCAGGCTGTGAGTTCTGACAAACACCCATTATAAAAGTATTTCTCTTTTCATTCTTCACTTAGGTGTTGTTCTTGAGCACCTGCTGAGTGCTGCAAGCAATGTTTTGTTGCCTTCTCTGGACCAAGCAGGGAAGGGGGAGGGATGTGGGAGTTGCTCATGCCCCAGCTCCCTCTGCCTGCTCTGCGTCTCCTGGTGTTCTGAGCCATGCTCATACTCTGAGCTCTGTGTTTCTCCCACAGGACCACGCTGCCTCCGGCCAGGAGGAGCTCTGCGAGGTGGCTGGGTACCTGGGCAGAGCCGACCCGTGGTACGAGAGCAACATCAACACTCTGTGCCACATGATTCCCAAGCTGGCCACCATGGTACGAGGGAAACCTGCCCACCTCCCCAGCCCAGCCCACTCCCCAAGCACATCTGCCATCCCTTAGGATGAGCTTGTACCCTGCAGCTCCTCTGTGCCCCAAGGCAAGGGCTTGCTCCCTCCACCAGGGCCCTGCCGCAGAGAGGTGCATGTGGCTGCATTGCCCCAGCCCGTAAGACCCACTGGTGGGTTTTTTGGCCAAGGGACAGGAAATGGCAGATTTCAAGAAAGAAAATGTAAATGAGGCATTTGCTGAAATCCCCCAGTTCTCATTTCCCAGCAGTCTGAACCACCACCGATAGCCTCCAGAAAGGGCAGGTAGGTGGGTGCAAGCCTTCGCTGCTCCCATTTGCTCTGACTACTTCTGGCACAGCAGCTCCTTGCTCATCATTTACCAAAGCAGGCGTGAGGGTTTGTGGCAGAGTTTTTGAGATTACTGTGCCTGATCCATGATGTGATTTGTCCCCCCCAGCCTTCCTCACCGAGCAAGCATCTTGTGACTGATCTGTTCATCACTGATGTGATCGCTTACTACGTTCGCATGGGCATCCAGCCCGTCTGCTTCCAGGTCTACTCTGTGAAGGTGGGTGCCACCTCTTGTGCCTTCAGGGGTCCTGCAGGGCTTGTAGAGCCCCACTGCTAGCAGAGCTGTGCCAAGTCAGCGGGGTCTGGTGGCTTAGAGCACGAGCCTGGATCTCCTGCTCCTTAACCTGTCCCCTCCTTGCCTGGCTCCCAGATCTAGCAACATGTAGCCCATGTACATCACGTACAGAATCAATGTACAGGCTCAGACAGAATCGGTGATCCTGGGAAGACCGTTTCAGGATCATGCAGGTCAGCAAAGTGAGCCCTGAAATGTAAGGGCCCAAATTTCCTGCTCTGCTGAACTGGGGATTGCTCAGCTCTGGTTCCTTGTGCTGCTTTGGATGCTGGGAGGAAACAGGAGTTTTCTCAGTGGCTTTGCCAAAACCTCCCTGTGCCTTGCAGGGCCCTTGCAGGGCTTTCTGAAACACCACTTTTTCTGCCAGCTTGTCTGTGAAATGGCTTCAGAGTGAGACCTGGCCCTTGATATGAGAGCAAACAACTACTGCATTTGTACACGTAACATCAGTTCCCTCTGCTCCCCCAGCAGTTCTCCCCCTTCGAAGCTCAGGGTGGTACTAATGCACGTACCTCCTTTTAGTCTACACGTAGCCAATGTGGTAACCTGTGGCAAAGGAGCAGCCATTGCATGAGCAAGCTGGTATGTGGCTTGCAAAGAGCTCAAGGACTTTGGTAACTACTAGGACAGCATTACCAGGACTTGATCTAACAACAGAGCTTGTAAACCCTTGGACCACCAGGTCTGCAGCTCGTGTGGTTGGGGACTGGGGGTTTTTCGGTGAATTTTTATTTCACTCATTTCTCCTCCTAGACAAAAATCAAAAGCAAGTGAGAGGCTGGGTGACTCAAGCAGGGGAAGAGGAACTGACTCCAGATGAGGTTTTCAGATAGAGGTGCCCAACCTACCCTGTTGTCGCACACGATGTGATGCTGCTTCATCTGGAATCACTGGGCCTAGGCTGCCTTTTTTGGTTAAGACCACAGTTCTTTAGCTGAAGAGAGTTTTCCTGGAACTGAGGGTCAAGTCCCACAGGAGCTGGATGTAGGCTTAGGAGAGGTTCTTCAATACCTCATAGGATCATAGAATCAGTTTGGGTTAGAAAGGACCTTAAGATCATCCAGTCCCAACCCCCTGCCACAGGCAGCGATGCCTCCCACTAAACCATGTCACCCAAGGCTTTGTCCAACCTGGCCTTGAACACCACCAGGGATGGGGCAGCCACAGCTTCTCTAGGGGCCCTGTGCCAGTGCCTCAGCACCCTCACAGGGAAGAGCTTCTGCCTTAGATCTAACCTGAACTTCCCCTGTTTCAGTTTGAACCCATCACCCCTTGTCCTGTCACTGCAGTCCCTAATGAAGAGTCCCTCTCCAGCATCCCTATAGGCCCTCTTCAGACACTGGAAGCTGCTCTGAGGTCTCCAAGCAGCTTCTCTTCTCCAGGCTGAACAGCCCCAACTTCCTCAGCCTGTCTCCTTACGGGAGGTGCCCAGCCTCCTGGTCATCCTCATGGCCTCCTCTGGACTTGCTCCAACAGCTCCATATCCTCTTTGAGGACATCAGAACTGCACACAGTGATGCAAGAGGTCTCATGAGAGCAGAGTAGAGGGGCAGGATCACCTCCTTCAACCTGCTGGTCATCCTCCTTTTGATGCAGCCCAGGATACGGTTGCTTTCTGGGCTGTGAGCGCACACTGAAGCCGGCTCATGTTCATTTTCTCATCGACCAACACCCCCAAATCCTTCTCTGCAGGGCTGCTCTGAATCTCTTCTCTGCCCAACCTGTAGCTGTGCCTGGGATTGCCCCGACCCACATGTAGGACCTTGCACGGTTGAACTTCATGAGGTTGGCATTGTCCCATGTCTCAAGCGTGTCCAGGTCCCTCTGGATCCCATTCCTTCCCTCCAGCGTATCAACCGACCCACACAGCTTGGTGTCATCGGCAAACTTGCTGAGGGTGCATCAATCCCTCTGTCCATGTTCACATTTTGCTCAAAACAAGCCTATTAGAAGGAAATAACGACCAGCTCTGAAGAGAGCGGTTGGTTTCAAGCGCATCAGTTAGAAATTACGCGCCTTGAAGCTCAGCCAGCACCTGCAGGCAGGCCTGGAAGCGGCTCCCTGTGCCCGGTGGTGGGTGGCTGGGAAGGGACTCGTGTGTGTGCAGTGACACCCAGTGGGTGCCCAGGGACGAGCTGCTCATGGAGGTTGCCTCTTTTCCAGGTTTTCTTCAACGACCCGGCGCAGGAGCCAGCCGAGGACGTGTTCCTCACGGAGCTGCGCACCCAGGGCCAGGACAGCATCTCCCACAGAGGTGTGTGTGTGTCCCCTGAGCTGAGCCCTGAGGCTGCCACCCTGTGCGGGGTCCTGCCCAGCTCCAGCTCGCCCTGTCCCTCAGCCTGCAGCAGTCGAGCTGTGCCTTTGCCTGGCTCCAGGACCCTCTAAATCTGGACCAGCACCATGTTTCTGTTGAGGAAACAAGCAGGGCTTTACAGCCATCCCTTTTGCCAGATGTTTTCCCTATTAGACATGCAGCTTCCTTGAGTTGCCAGTGATAAGGGTGCTTGAAGACTGGACCATTACAGAGGGCACATTCAGCCCATGCACCCTGCTGTCTGATCCAATGGATGTTCGCCATTGCTAATGGGCATAGACCTTTGAGTGAGTCCATCTGGCTGGACCTGTTGAGTGCACAGAGCCTCATTCCATAGGCAAGGAGAGAAGGGCCACTGTGCCAGAGCAGAACTGCTGTGTGACAGAGGGGGTGACTTTTCCCATGGGAGGACCCCTCTGCTGACCATAGACAGGTGGGATGAGCGAAACCTCAATCCCATTCCTTCCTTGCAGAGTCAAGCACGACCAAGAAGAAGACGACCCTGGATGGCCCTGGCTTAGATCTCACAGTAACATACAAGAAGGTAAGTGGGGCTCTCAGCAGCCCAAAATGTCCCTGCTCACAGGGGTACCCAGCATGGCACAGATCTCCTGGGAGGAGTGCTCTGTCCCTCCTTTCCTCTGGAATTGCACTCCGGGAAAGGACGGAGAGCTCATGGTGAACCTTGCATGTGGGAAAACCTGCACCCTCTCTGCCGGGGTGAGCTAACAGAGCCTTGCCTGCAGGTTGTGCTGAGTGAGCGGGTGAAGGAGCTCGCTATGTCCCTGCGCTCCACAGGTCTGGTGATGAAAGCCATCCCTGCTGAAGAGGCTGAAGGTGGGTTCTTCCTGCTTGGAACCTTGTGAAGACAGTTTGCTGAGTTTTCTGGTGCTTGACAGAGTAAATCTGACCGTGGTTCTTAGTGCCAGTTGTGCCTGGGCTGTGACGGGTGAATCAGTGACGGGCACGTGTCAGTGTCACCACAGTCTGTGGTTGCGTAGCTCCTCATGAATGATGTGCCTGGGACTCCCTGTAATGTGGGGTTCAGTTCATCAGAACCATAATCTGGGCTTGGCAGCATCTCCTCTTGCTGCAGCCTTCCTCTTTCACCTTGCCCTTAGCAGAAACCCTGAGGTTTCCACCCTGAGCATGATCCCATGCAAACCTTTAGCCTGTGGAGCTTACTAGAATCCTCCTTTTCTGCTGTCCTGTGTATCCCATGGACCTCTGGCAGTGCACTCAAACGTGGGATCTGGCAACCGCCCCACTCAAAGCTGAGCTGAGATCATTCCATGCCTAAGGCTAACACACTGCTTCTGTTGCAGACCTGGTGTGTCTGAATGTGACCATCACTGAAATTGTTCGGATCAACAACTTGTCAGGACGATCGTTCTCAGTAAGTAGCTGTGGACGCTCATGGCCCTTGGGGGGACAGAAAACACATGGGAATCCCTTACAACAAGGGTGGAAGCGGAAACAGTCTCCTGGGAGGAGAAGGCTTTGGGGTCACCCTGCTCAGAGAGTGTTTTGCCATTACTTTCCATGGAAAAGTCTAGATTTTGGAGCCAGCACTCCAATGGCATCCCTGCTGGTCAGCGCCACATTGAATCCTGTCTCAGGGCACCCGGAAGGACTGAGCTGCTGCAGGGTTTGTTTGACCCCAGGGACAAAGTGGAGAAATAAAGCCCCCGTCACTGTGGCTCCATTTGGGTACAAGAGAGGGTCTGTAGTTTTGTGATCACTCCATTAGCTCCTTACCTGCAGTGGCAGTGCCCTCCCCACACTCTATGTGTCCATCCCCACAGAGCTCACCAGAATAGAGGCTGTTGGAGAAATACTTGAACAAAGCATAAACAAGAAGTAGGGACTTCGAAGAATCTGATTCAAACCATCATAAAGCTGGATATGCCAGAGATGGGACTGAAAGCTTGAGCTCCTCTCCTTTGTGTTTTACATGAGAGGTCAAATAGACCCCAGAGGACATGCTGCCCCATGGGAATTGTATTGCTGCAGTTTAGGTGGCATTAAATGTTGTTGTACCTTGGTCATTTGGGCCTTGGAGCCTACAGTCTCTCAGGTGGTATTTTTAGCTTGCCAGCACCAACTTGTGCTTGTTTTCACCTGGCTTTTGGGAACACCAAGGTACTTCAGTTCATGTGGCTTGAAAAGATACACCACAGCCCTGGAGAGCGGACCGTGCCCCCATCAGACATCCCAAACCTTGCCACCTGTGCAAGCATTGCCAGTTTGGAAAGTTTGACTGGGCTGTAATTACAGGAAAGCAATTCACCTTGTGTCACATCTGAGGTTAAAAAAGAGAAATGTCATTTGTCCCTTTCAAACCCGTTGTGCATACACCACCCATCCGAGAGAAGGGAAGTGAAAAACTCCCTGGGCTCTTCCTCCTCTCTCAATCCAGGCTGTGGCAAACAGCTTGAAAACACGCAATATCAAAATCAGGAGCACAGAGCAGAGGCCCTTCACCGTGTGTCTGGACAAGGACAGCAGAAGAACCTACAGGAACGTGATCAGGTGAGAATGCCACGTGTGCCAGGCTCTGCGCACCTTGCCGTGACCCTGGCTGGGCTGCCAGGGTAGCAGAGCTGTTTCCCATCTAGTCCTAATCCTGATCCTCCTACACAGCAAAAGAGCCACGGGCAAATACATTGCTTCTCCAGGGAAAGTGGTGCTTTCCGTTGTATTTTGGGGGATGCTGTGAGAACTGAAATGGTTCTTACGTTTTAAGTGAGGTGCTGTCATTAAGACAGTAGAAAGATAGGTACCTCCAGGGACAAAGTGAGATCTTGGGTCTTCTGAATTATATCATGGAGCTGATGCTCTCTCCACTGACTGCATTCCTCACCAGGCTGTCTCAGGCATATGAAGGTAGGGGGAGAGAATTCAGCCTTGTGAAAATAGCAGAAATCAATGTGCCTGTAGTAGTTGCAGTGACATATAATGTCTTGGGAGCAGACTGGTGGTTCAGGGTCCATGGGCCACATAGAACATTCTGTGAAGTGAATTTCTGAGAAGGGAACTGAGCCAGGCTAAGGACTCTGGTTTTCTGGTCAGACACTAACACACATCAGCTCATCTTTCCAGTCAAAACAGTTGACAAAGCATAAAAGCAGCTGCACATCCTCCCTCAGCAGTCAGTGGAGGGACCTGGTGTTCAGTTTGAGATCAGGCTCTGGCTCTAGAGGGCAGATTTGCACATGCAGTAAATGCGCTCTTGTGCCGTTGCAGCGTGGAAGTGTCTCCTTGCCTAGAGCCCAGCTACTGCTTGCAAAAGACAAGGACAATGAAATACAACCTGCACGAAAAGGAAGATGTGGGACTTGTGAAATACATGCCCAAATCTCTGCTGCTGCCTATCAACACATTTGCGGGCGTCATTCAATGAAGGAAAAGCTGGTGTGAGAGATGTGACGTTGGCTCATCACAGAGGAGATGGAAGACAAAAACACACTAAAGGCCACCAGCAGTGATTTTACAGTGGTCATGGTGTGAAACGCTGCAACAGCAGAGGTGGATGGGGCTGTGCCCTGCTGAATGGCAGCGATGACCAGAGCTGGGAGCCCCTGCCAAGGGGCAGAGCGAGGCTGGAGAACTGAGTTTTAATCTTTTGCACAAGACAAGGAAAACCTTTGAGCTGCTTCATTTCAGGGAGCCTGGGGTGAGGGTGCTGCCTGCGCTGTGGGACACAGTCCCTGTCAGTACATCTGTGACGGTGATGTCTCACAGCCCGGCAGGGAATCAGTGCCTGTTGTGCAGGGCTCTGCACAGCCCACTCTTCATTCTGGCACAGGGTGCTGTATTTGGGCAAATCAGCAATTGTTCCCCTGACTGATTTGGGAAAGCTCATTGTAAGCCTGACCACAACTGGGAGAGCCTGTGTTTAATGCAGCTTCTATAGGAGCCCATGGAAAACCTGCTTTTGGTTCAAAGGCGCCATATAAACAATGAAACTGGGAAATGGGAACTGGTGCAATATTTGGCAGTGATGAACAGGGCATGAACAGCTTGGGCTGCCTGGGCAGTGCTGTGGGATAGGCTGTCAATGGGTATAGATCTGCCTGAAGAAGCCATCATTGAGCAGACAGTGAAGCAGCTCTGCAATGTCTGAACTGAACCTCTGAGTACACTTGGGATTTTGCCGTGGCTTCGCTACACAACCTCTCCACATCTGGTCTGGAGCCTCATGAGCGCTGGTTACATCCCTCCAGTTGGACGTCTCAGCAACAACCACCTACAACCCCAGCAGCAGCAGCAGATCTCCTCTGTGAGGTCAGCCGGCAATACCTCTGCATCCCAGTCTGCCATGCAGTCCCAGCCTGTCCATGTCTGCTGCATGGGTAAGAGATGTAGAAGAGTGCTCCTGGGATTGATGGGTGGGCAGGATGCCTGCAAGACTTCAGTTCTTTTCCTTTCCTGCTGCCACGGTGTACAAACACTCCCCTGGTTTGCGGATGGGCAATGATAGGCTCAGATGAAGCCGCTGTGAAGGATGATGGTGCAGGAGGACCCTGACTGCATTCCACTCTGTGGCTGACAAAGAAGAAACACAGCGTGTATTTATTGACTTTCTGAATGTGACCTGTGGTTTCTGCACTGTCTCCAGGGAGTCTTCCCTAAATCCACATTGAGAGGGGATATGGGGGGTTCCCTCTATGGCACTATTCTCTCAGCTCCCTGATAACTCATTACCCGGGTTGCCTTCACTCAGGGGTGCTTGCTTGGATCAGCAGCCCAATGAAAATGCCCTTTAGCTTTGCCTATGTGCAGAGCAGCTATCCCCAGTCATGCATGGCTGTCACTGACGGGGAGTCCCTGTGCTACAGGGTGATGCTGACCCAGCTGTGGTGGCTCTGGCACACCCCTGTGTTAGCCCTGATGGCTGGGGACAAACCCATTCCCTGTCCTGTCTGCCCGGTCTGCCCAGCCCTGGGGAGCTGCACCTCTGGAAGTCACTTCAGCTTCTGGAGTCACACCAGGAACAAGGAGCTCCTCTGCAGGTATTGCAGCCTGGGGCACCAGAGAGCAGCTTCCCTTGTGCAGAACTGCTCTGGGCCCTCCTGGCTGGTTGGGTCCCACGGAAATCTGCCAGCTCTTCTTGCATCTCTTGCCATCTGCACAAGGCTTTAAAGGGCTCAGCCCTCAGATTTCCCTGTTCCCTCTCTTTGCCGACAAGCACACGGCTGCCATGCTCCCGCTCCTGTCCACATTACCACCTGGCACAGCAGGCATCATCGCTTCCCGTTCCCAAGCTAAAGGTTTATCCACCCTCACTTTGAACGTACCATGCGGTCCAAAACAACCACTGACACTCATGGGGGCATAGCAGCTCTAGAGCTGGCAGCATGTGATGGGGTATTCAGCAGTGTGAAAAGCCTCCACGTCCCAGGAGCTATTTAATCATAAACCAGCACCAACAGCTGAAAGGTCCTGTTGGGCAACAGCAACGTGACTGTTTCCTAAGGAAGCTCCTCGAAATGCTGGCAGATGTAGCCCCTTGCTCCCAGCTGAGCCAAGCACAGTCCTCAGGCCTTAATGTTCTTCCCCAGGAGTCACAAGGCTGCAAGATCTCAGCAGCAGCATTCGGTTTTTCAGTACTGTTCTTCACCTCACAAGTCAGACACGGCTGATCCTCACCAACACCACACCTGAGCAGTGAGCGCTTCGGTCCTGGAGGAAGCTGAATGTCAACAGGACGCTCAGGAACAAGTCAGGAAACCCCTGCTTGTCCTCCTGTGCTGCTGCATAGGGTAACACAGAGCTCAAGGGAGGACCAGTGGCTCTTCACATCTCTGCTTCCTCGGGGCTTCACTGGGGGGGTTCATGTACCCTGGCACACAAGGCAATTGCTTGCAAAGCCAAGAGACTCTGTGCTGGGTTAGAGTGTGGTCTGTGGTGTCCAGAGTTTGCTCTGTACAGCTGTAAATGATGTAGATGGATTATAAGTTATTTGTATAGTGTCAGAGGTGATCTGTGTCAGAAGGTGCAATCCTTTTAAAGCCATTTAAAAAAAAAAATATATTAAGCCAATAGAAACTGTCAGTTTGGTTGGTTTTTATATTTGTGTGTGGCTGGGGAATAAGCTGGTAGGAACAGAAAGACATCAGTGCCATTTGGCCCTCTATGGCTAATGTCTTCCCCCCACCTTGGGGCTACACACTGTGTTACACAGATAGAGACTTCATGGCCAAAGAGTTCTTTACAAGGGCCTGTAGGGACAGGCCAAGGGGAATGGCTTTAACCTGCCAGAGGGGAGACTGAGATGAGCTCTTAGGCAGAAGCTCTTCCCTGTGAGGGTGCTGAGGCGCTGGCACAGGGTGCCCAGAGAAGCTGTGGCTGCCCCATCCCTGGCAGTGTTCAAGGGCAGGTTGGACACAGGGGCTTGGAGCAAGCTGCTCCAGTGGAATGCAACCCAAACCAGTCTGGGATTCTATTCTGTGAAATAGGGAAAGCGTTTCCTGTCGCTTTGTGACCAATGCAGGAGGATTCGGCTCTGAGTCCATCCTGGAGTTTAGCTTTTCTTTCTCCCTGCGCACGGGGAGCTGCACAAACATCACCTGCCCCTGGGACCCGCCCCGCCCCGGGCCACTCCTGCCCCCGCCCGCAGCGGGGCGTTGTTTTCCCCGCGGCCGCCAGGTGGCGCTGCCCCCCCCCCCGTCCCATGGCAACGGGGCGGGCCTGGGGCGCGGCGCCGCGGGCGGTGGCAGGTGCGGGGGTAGCGGGGGCCGGGGCCGCGCCGTGCAGCTGCGGTGCCCGCGGGAGGAGCATGCGGCAGCGCCATGAGCCAGCAGTGGGACGTCGGCCGAGCCCTGGCGCTCTCCGGGCTGTTCCGTGCGCTGCAGGGCGCGGGCCGGGCCTGCGCCGCCCCGTTCCTGACGCTGTACCTGCGGCACCTGGGGCTGCCGGCCGCGCTGGTGGGGCTGGTGGCCGGGGCGCGGCGCCTGGCGGCAGCGCTGTGCGCCCCGCTCTGCGCCCGCTGCCCCCGCGCGGCCGGGAGGCGGCGGCTGCTGGTGGCCGGGGCCGCGCTGGGCTCGGTGGGGGCCGGGCTGCTGCTCACGCTCGTCCCGCCCGCCGCAGCCGGCGCCCGCTGTAACGACACCCGGCAGCCGGGGCACCGAGCGGCCGCCGGGGGGCCGCGTCCGGACGCCGGCAGCTACGGTGTGCAGAGCGTGAGTGCTGCGCCCACCGCGAAGGCCGTGTCAGAAGGAGCGACGAGAAGGGCTGCAGGCGGTTTAACAGCGAGCGGGAGGGCGGCGGTGAGCCCCCCAGCCTCCCGGGGGCTGTTTGGCCTGGCAGATGTGCTTGAGAAACAAGGCGGAGGGGGTGGTGAAGGTGGCACAGAGACAAACGGGGACCTGGGTGGTGTCTCTGGCTGGACACCGCCTGTGAAAGCACTTAACTGGGAGACACGCGAGCCAGAAATGCCGGATTCCGGCGGACCTCCCCCGAGTGGACGCGAGAAGGAAACGAGCATTCTGGGTTCTGCTGCAAGAGGTGCTGCTGGTAATGCTGAGGAAAGGCTTTCTGCTACCAAGAGTAACGAGCTCCCCGTGTTTAAAACAACCCTTCCGACTGCTGGAGATGCTTATGTGTCTGGAAACCTTTCAGACCACCAGAAAGATTCTCAAGATACCGGCTTTGAAGCAACGCAAAACATCTTTCAGGACAGAGAGTACCAGATTTTCCTTATGGTGCTGGGTGCTGTGGTGCTTTGGGAGCTGTTGGCCACTTCTCTCGAATGGACAGTGGATGAGAGTCTCTATGAGTTCCTTGACTTTGTGGATGCGACTGACGGTTATGGCAAGCTCTGGATTTGGAGTTACTTGGGTGCCTCTGTAGGTGCCTGCAGCATTGCTGTAGTCGTGGATCATCTGAATTGCTTCCTGAGCAGTTCCATCACCCGCCTTGCTGTCCATTTCTATGGCTACGCTCTCCTGGTAACGCTCTCACTGCTTGTCACCGTCTTCTTTCCCATCCACCTTCCCAAGGAAAGCAAGCGCGTTAACAGGACGGGCAGAGCGCTGACACTGCTGTGGGGCGATGGCCGGGCGATGCTGTACGCCAGCACCGTGCTCCTCACCGGCGTGGCTGGTGCTGCCGTGGACAACTTCCTCTTCTGGCAGCTGGAGGACCGAGGCAGCAGTGAGCTGTACATGGGGCTCTCTGTGGCCGTGGGGCTACTTGCTGAGATGTTGCTTTATTTCTTCAAAGGGAAGTTGCTGAGGACTTTCTCAAGCAGCACAGTTGTCGCAATCAGCCTCAGCCTCCTGGCAGCGCAGCTTCTGTGCTACTCCTTCTTGTGGACTGCATGGTCAGTTCTCCTCATCCAGATTTTATCTGCCTTCAGTAACGGTGCTTTGTGGTGGGTGGTCAGCATGACCGTGGATCACATAGCCACGCCGGGCACGGCGAGGTCCCTGCACGCTGCTCTCCAGGGCCTCTGCCATGGTGGAGGAGCAAGCTTGGGCAGTTTTGCAGGAGGATTTGTGGTGGAGCACTTTGGCCTGGCTGTTCTGTACCGGGCGTGCTGCGTGTGCCTGGTGCTGTGGCTCTTCCTGTTCTTGATTGTCCAATCTAAACTGCCACAGCAGAAGAAAATTAATTATTCTCGTCTCCTGGCTGCTGGTTCCAGTGATGGGAGTGACTCTGGTGAGGA